AAAGGGGCCAACAGATAAAGAAAGAACAAAGATGATAAAGAGAGGCAGCTAGGTATTGCAGTGAATAGAGCTCTAGCTTTGGAGTCAGGAGGACTCAAGTTCCAATCCAGCCTCAGACACTTAACACTTATTAGCTGTGTGACCCTGGGCAAGTCACTTAACTCTGATCGCCTCATCAAAAAGTAAAAATAAAAAAAGTTTTAAAAGATGATAAAGAGAGGTATTTTTATAGGAGGAAAGGTGGACAGACAGCCAATGAAGAGAGAGATGGAACATACAGGAATGGAAAGCATAGAGGAGATTAGGAAAGGAGCAAGGAGCTGGAAGTGATGGGATCAGGGTGTAGTCAATCAGGAAGCATTTATTAAGCACTTACTGTGTGCTAAGTGCTGGAGAGACAAAGAAAGGTGGAAGCCAGGCCCTGCCTTCAAGGAGCTCCCATTCTAACAGGGGAGACACCAGGTAAACAAGTACCACTTGAATACGGTGAACAAAGGTCATTTCAGAGAGAAGAAAGGCACTAGCAGTGAGAGGGGGCAGGAGAGGCTGCTCGTGGAAGGCAGCATTTGAACTGAGGTCAGAGGAGATAGGAGGCAAAGGTGAGTCCGAAAAGCTTTCTAGGCATGATGGACAGTGCCAGTATTGCAGGATCAAAGACTGTATGGGAAGGAGTAAAGTAGAAGGCTGGAGAAGAATCCTCCCTCTGATTATGAGTTGTGACGGGCTTTAAATGACAGAAAATGCTATATTTGATCCTGGAGGTAAAAAGGAGCCACTGAAGTTTATTGAGTAGAGGAGTGACATCGTTCGACTAGTGCTTTAGGGAAATCAGCAATAGATCATCTTTGAGAACGGCTGAAGCTGAAAAATTCATCACTCAGTGGCCTATTTGGTAATTAACTTTTCTTCATCACGGGGAGAAGTTTGCATCTAAATCTACCACTTCCTACCTACGGGAAGTGGGGCAAGTCACTCTAGGCTCTATTTCCCCACCAGCAAAATGAAGGAGCTGAATTAGCTGACTCTAAGGTCCTCCCAGCTCTAAATCTAGGATTCTGTATGATCATTCTAGCTTGAGAGCAGAGGTCAAAGGTTGTACTTCCTGCTCCCCCTACCCCCCCCCAACCCAGAGTCATCTCTACACCTTTCTGTTGTTGAGTAATTTTTCAGTCACATCCAACTCTTTATGACCCCATTTGGGGTTTTCTTGGCAAAGATACTGGAGTGGTTTGACGTTTTCTTTTCCAGCTCATTTCACAGATGAGGAAGCAGAGGCAAACAGGGTTAAGCGACTTGCCCCAGGTCACACAGCTAGGAAGTATCTGAAATCAGATTTGACTCTTTCTGGTTCCAAGCCCAGTACTTTCTCCAATGCACCACCTAGCTGCCCGTAACTTGGTCAAGGATCAAAATAAGGTACCGAAGTTATAGGGGAAGAATTCAGAGGCAGTAGGGCCTTCAGAAGGAAAATAGAAGGGTTGTTTCAGGTTAAGATTAAAGTCAATATGCAAAAATGAAAGGCAAGGACAGGATAAACACAGATTTACTCACCCAAAAGCAGAATCTAGAACCAGTGAGCCTCCCTTCCCCTTGAAAGTTAAAAGAAGTAGTTTTAGGATAACAAAAACAAAGTGATATTTTACCCAACAGATTGTAAACTTCATCATTCAGTCATTACCCAATTATAAAAAGAAAATATAAATAGATTTCAGAAGGGTTTAGATAATATTAATAACGCATTATTAAAGGAAAGTAAGCTATTTGGGACAAATCCCTAATCTTTTGAGTTTAACATTAGGGAAAACAGTCCTGCCCTATGCAAAACCTTTTTAATGATGCTATCAGAGACAGAACACTGGGCTAAAGAGACCATAGGTGGATCTCACTCCTCAAAGTACCTCTTAGGCATTTAGGATGAGGAGATTTGCACAGGTTCCTGCCATAGCCAAAATGTCTGAGATATGAACAGTGAATTGCCATCAGAGAAGCAGATCATGAATTTCTTTGCCTAAGTCAACACAAACCAAAAATGGAGGGGATGCATCATTCATGGCTTTAAAAATGGACACCCACTTTGGCAGGGTCCCACCACCACCACTCACTGCAAGGGTTCCTTCATCAACCGCCCTGCCTTCCTTGACAGTGATAGCAGGCTCGAACTAAACAGAAGGTGGAGAAGAAAGGGGGCAGGGGGCAGGGAGAGAAAAGGGAAAGCTGGAGCCTCCAGGACAAGATTTCTAGGCCAGTGACTCAATTTTCACCAGCCATAGTACTGTAATGAAAACATCAAGTTCCCTTTTCACACTGCTAAGTGACCGAGTTAGATTTCTATTAATTGTGCACAGGAAATTAAGAGCTGAGGACTTCCTGCTCTCCAGCTCATCAGAAGCAAATTCTCTTAGACCACACACACACACACACACACACACACACGATATTACTTTGTCTTTCAGCTAAACTGAACTATTGGAGAATTCGAAATTCTCTAATTTTGAAGTACCTTCATCTAGATCATTGAAGCTGTCCCATCACACTCCCTCTACATCCTCACGTTTTGGACTCTTTATCTACCTTCAAGACCCAGTTCAGGGGGCAGCTAGGTGTCTCAGTGGATAGAGCAACAGCCCCGGAGTCAGGAGAACACGAGTTCAAATTCGGCTCAGATACTTACTAGCTGTATGACTCTGGGCAAGTCACTTAACCCTGATTGCCTCAAAAACAAGACTCATTTCATCTTCTCCATGAAGCCTTCCTTGGTCTCTCAAGATAATAATAATAATAATAATAATAATAATAATAGCATTTATGTAGAATTTTAAGGTTGGCCAAGCACTTTACAAATATTACCTTATTTGATCTTCACAAATGATAGCAATCTCTGTCTGTACCTCATCCTCCCTTCCCTGTTCACCCCCAACCCCACCCCAACCCCCTTTCACACTTCCACTGTATCTTATTTTTCTTCCTGTCAAATTTCGCCCATTGGAGGAATAGGAGACAAGCATTTATTAAGTGACTTCTATGTGCCAGGAACTATGCTAAGTGCTTCACAATATTATCTCATTTGATCCTCACAACAACCCTGAGGATCTATTATTGCCTCCATTTTACAGCCGAAGAAACCGAGACCAAAAGAGGTTAAGTGACTTGCCCAGGATCACATAACTGTGGAATGTCTGAGACTTGATTTGAATTCAGATCTTCCTGACTTCCTGATTTGGAGGCAGCTAGGTTGGCTCAGTGGGTAGAGCGCTGGGCTTGAAATTAGGAAGACCTAAATTCAAATGTATCCTCAGAAACATATCAACTGTGTGACCCTGGGCAAGTCACTTGAGTTCTGTTGGCCTTAATTCACTGAAGAAGGAAATGGCAAACCACTCCAGTATCTTTGCCAAGAAAACTCCATGTCCTGGATTGGTGTGCCAGGGTCCACAGGTCAGGAAGCATCAGACACAATTGAATAACTGAACAACTTCCTCACTCCAGGTCCAGGGCTCTATCCATTGTACTACCTATCTGCCTATTAGAATATAAGCTTCCTGAGGGTAAGAATTTATTAGATTACAAATTCCCAGATGGCAGGAGTTTATATGGTTGTATCTTATCTTTGTGAGCTCAATGGTCAAGTACAGGCCCTTACACAAAGACAAGGCTTACTTAAGAAACACTGAACTGAATTGAAACCTGGTAAAGAAGATAGATATTTTTACCCACTGTGAACACATGGAGTGTCTCTCTTTGTCCCTCCCTTCATTTATTCATTCAGTCCTGTGTGTTCTCGGTAGGTTCCTCACTGGGGGTGCCTGGCTATTAATACATTCTGCTTTATGCAAGGTCCGGTGGTGATGGACCTGTCCCAGGCCTAAAGGAACCTCCTAACAGAGCTGCATGTGCCTTGGGGCACAGGCAGCCTTTGGATTTATGGGAGTTGTGACAGTGACTCACTCCCAACTGCTGTTGTTTCACCCTCGGTGTGTGGAGAAGGGGGGAAATGATCTAGTATGAAAAACCTGAATGTTACATAATTTGCATTTCATTTGCATAGATAAGTTATGCATGCTAGGAAATTTCTCTCACTCTAAGTAAAAACAAAGGAAAATCTGTCTCTGTTCCTGTTCGCTGTCTCTCTGACACTCTTTCTTTCTCCCTCAGTCCCTCTCTCTAGGTCCTAAACTACTTTTTGTTTTTGTACTAAAACTAAATATTCCCTTTTAGTCTAGACCTATGGTTTCATTAGTGCGATTTTCCAGTGTGAAAACTCCCTTCATGGACCCCTACTCCTCTATAATTTATAGTCTTAAAGAACTGACCAGGGTAGGGAGAAGTTAAATGACTCACTTAGCCATGGTCATGCAGCTAGCATATATATATATCAGAGGCAAAACTTGAATCTAGATCTCGACTCTAAAACCAGACCTTTATCTTCTAACATATATTACCTGTCTATTTTCTTTCTTTCCTTCTTTCTTTTTGAGAGGCAAACAGGATGAAGTGAATTGCCCAGGTTCCCATAGCTAGTAAGTGTCTGAGGTTTGAATTTGAACTCAGATCCTCTGATTCCAGGGCTGGTGCTTTATCCACTGTGCCACCTAGCTGCCCCTGCCTCTCGATTTTCTTAAAAGATACCAGAATATGGGGTGGCTAGGTAGACACTTGCCACTAGCTGTGTGACCCTAGGCAAGCCACCTAACCTCAATTGTCTCACCAAGAAAAAAAAAATTACCAGAATAATTGTGTCAAGTTCCATTTTGTGCAGAGTAGATGGGGGGGGGGTAGGGAGCATTTATTAAGTACTCACTCTCTGTTAAATGAAGCATTATGGTTGAGGATGCAAATGTAAAAGCAAGCCTGGACTTGACCTCAAGAAGCTTATATTCTAGTGGAAGGAGATAACACATATAAGGGAGAAGTGGGAAGAGAACCATTTTTTATTTTGGGAAGGTTAATGAATGAAGCCATCAGGGAGTCAATTAACACCTTTTTTTTTTTTTTAACAAAAGCAGGAGGTGGAAGGGGAAAAGATCATGGCCTCATGAATTCAGATCTTTCTGACTTCCTGATTTGGAGGCAGGTAGGTGGCTTAGTGGGTAGAGGGCTGGGCTTGAAATCAGGAAGATCTAAGTTCACATACCAAACAAAACTGAGTGTGTTAAATCACTGCTACCATATTGACTGATCTGGTCTCCAGAGGCCCCCATGTCTAGAGGGAGCAGCAGCAGGGTGGATAGCAAGAAAACCTACTGTGGGGTGGGATTCAAAGCATAGTGGCCCATAATTACGCCAATGTGTGCAGATTTTTCATATGATGGGGGTACCAAGAGATCCTGCTTTCCTTCCCCAGACCTTTCTCCCTACCTGATTTCATTTCCAATGTTTTCTCTGAGTAAAATCAAGTTGCACTTCAGTTTTCAAAGACTCTTAGTGCAGGGAGGGGCCATTCCACCCTCCTCATTTTCCCGATAAAGAAACCAGGGCCCAGAGAGAAGAAGGTCAGGGAAATAGGTGGTAACAGCAGCACTCACTACACCATGCTGGTTTGTTAGTTTGTAAAAGAGTAAAATGCAGGAGAAATTCCTTAATGAAACCTTGCTTTGAAAACCAAATCCTTTGCTGTTTCCCACAGTCGGTTTGTGAAGGCATTCATGCCCTCAACGTTGGGCTTGTGATGTACGGCAGGGCTGTTGGTAAGACTGGGGTCAACTGAGGTCTTGGCCAGGTTGAAAGCAGGACTATGGCATCTGCGTCAGCCAGAGCCTTTCTTCTGAAGGATACCAGCTCTGAGGCCTTGCAGAGCTTGGCACCCCTCCCAGTTACATGGGCCAAGGGCAAATCACTTCTTAATTACTGCTTACAGTGCAAATTTTTGCTTTTGTCTGAGCAAAGGCCAAACTCCCAAAAACACATTAAGCTTCTCATCAGACTGCAGTTAATTGATCCTGAGAATCAACTTTGATTCACGGATTCTATCTAATCTGGGCTGCAATTTCCCGATGCTAATAAGGGAGCTCCTCCCCTCAGCTCAGGAAGGTGGGATGAAGTCCCACACTTGTGTTTTCTAGCTGGCCATTGGATGGAGAGCTGGAGGAGACCTCAGAGCTGGATTGGTGGTGCAGTGGATAAGAGTGCCGGGCCCGGAATCAGGAGGACAAATGTTCAAATCCCACCTCAGACTACTGTCGTTATTGTTAATAAGGTGAAGTGTACAACTCTGGGCAAGTCACTTAACCTCCGTCTGTCTCACTTTCCCCAACTGTAAAATGGGGGTAATAATAGCACTTATCTCCCAGGGTTGTTGTGAGAATCAAATGAGATAATATTTCTAAAGTGCCCAGCACATAGTAGACACTTAATAAATGCTTGTTTCCTTCCTTTCATCTAGTAATAATAATAGCTAGCATTTATTTAGTGCTTTAAGGTTTGCAAATCACTTTACAAATATTATTTCATTTGATCCTCACAACCCTGAGAGGTAGTTGCTATTATGATCCCCATTTTACATATGAGGAAACTGAGGCAGGCAGATGGTTAAGCAACTGGCCCAAGTCACACAGCTAGTTAAGTGTCTGAGGCTGGATATGATCTCAAGTCTTCCTGAGTCCAGGTCCAGCACTCTATGCAATGTGACACCACCTAGATGCCTAGTCATATAAAATGAGATGCCTCTCATTTTATAGATGAGGAAATTGAGGCACGGAGAATTAAAGGGACCTGTGTAAGCATACTAAGTAAGATCATAATAATATTCCCTTTTAGTCTAAACCTATGGTTTCATTAGTGGGATTTTCCAGTGTGAAAACTCCCTTCATGGACCCCTACTCCTCTATAATTTACAATCTTAAAGAACTGACCAGGGCAGGGAGAAGTTAAATGACTCACTTAGCCATGGTCATGCAGCTAGCATATATATATATCAGAGGCAAAACTTGAATCTAGATCTCGACTCTAAAACCAGACCTTTATCTTCTAACATATATTGCCTGTCTATTTTCTTTCTTTCCTTCTTTCTTTTTGAGAGGCAAACAGGATGAAGTGAATTGCCCAGGTTCCCATAGCTAGTAAGTGTCTGAGGTTGAATTTGAACTCAGATCCTCTGCAGCTGTAAATCCAATACTCCTTCCTTTTTCCCACAGTGCCTCTACTCCAGAACAAAACTGGCCAGTCTGACCCAAATGACCGTCTCAAGAAACCAGCCAAGAAATCAGGGTCTGAAGTTTCCCTTATTAAAGTCTCCTCTTGGACTTGAGGTATCATTAGGATGGTATGTCATGGAGAGATCATTGAACTTGGAGGCAGAAGACCTGGATTTCACCCCAGATCTGTCAGTTCATAGCTGTGTGACCACGGGCAAGTCACTTCAGTCATCCAAGCCCCAGTATCCCCATCTGAAAGTAGGGATAGTAATACCAGCACTTTCTAATCACAGGACTGTTACAAATGGAATACTGAATTAAAAGGACTAAGTAAAGGTCAGGGATGTGCTGGTAAATGTTTAACATCCAGCTCTCTGAAAAGCACTTAGTTTGAGATGTCCAATAGGCAGTTAGGGAGAGACAAATAGATATGTGAATCGTCTGCATAGAGGTGAAAAATGGAATCCAAGGGAGTCGAAAAGATCCCCAAGCAAAGTAATAGAGAGAGAGAAGAGAAGGGGGTCAGAACAGAGCCTTGAAGGGCACCCACACTTAGCAGATGTGACCTGGATGAAGAGCCAGAAAAGGAGACTTAGAAGGAGTGGTCACACAGGTAGGAGGTAAGCCAGGAGAGGGTACTGTCACAGTAACCTAATGAGTGTCAAGGAGAAGAGGGTAAGAGTGTCAAAGACTACAGAGAGGTCACGAAGAATGAGGATTTGGAAGAATCCATTCAATGTGGTGATCAAGACATCATTGGTAACTTTATTTTGTGCCATGGATCCCTTCAGCAAGTAGTCTAGTAAATCCTGGGGACCCTTTCTCAGAATCATGTTTTTAAATGCATAAAATAAAATACACAGAATTACAAAGAAAACCAATTATATTGAAACACAGTTGTCAAAATATTCTTTCAAAAGGCCATGGACCCCAGGTCAAGAACTTTTGGACTAGATATGCTGAGGTTCCTTTTAGCCTAAATCCAATGATTCTGTGAAATGGGATGATTTATATGATGTGATTTCTAGCCCCAACACCTATTGAAATTATTGCAAATGGTTCCTGGCTAAAGTACAAAAATTCTGCATAGAAGGGAGGAAACCATCAGGTCATTAACACTCCTTACTCTTACCTCTCACTTCAATTTCATTTATTGAAGTAGTAAAGAGGAAGGTCCTGAAGAAATGGGGGCTAGGATTCCATTTCTGAGGGGCATTGAATGCAGAGGAAAAGAAAGAGGATGAGGAGGAGGAGGAGCAAATAGTTCACATTTTGAGAAATCACTTCCATACATTATTTCATCTGATCTTGTTTCCAACCTGTGATAGATGTCATGTTAATATTCCCTTTTTGTAGATGAGGAAACTAAAGGTGAAGTGAATTCCCTAACTTCATACCTATGCTCTTCTGGGTCCAGAAGCCCATGATTTCAATTCCTGCCTCTGACACTTACTGGCTAGGCAAGTCACTTTATCTCCACCAAGCTCAGCTCCTACATGAGGATAATAATAGCACCTTTCTCATAGAGTTGTTTTGAGGATAAAATGAAATAATCCACTCAAAGCACTTGGCAAGCCTTAAAATGCTATATAAATACAGTTATCCCTTCCATATCTCAGGGGTTAGGGGCATGGCACCCCCATGATCTGGAAAATCCATGTAAAATTTTTTGGCTCTCCCTTCATAGCAGAGAAGAAGTCTGAATTGTTTTTCTTTTTCTTTTTCTTGTATGGGGTGTTTATAGTATCTTATTGTAAAATGTGGGTTAAGTATTTGGTCATAGGCTATATATAGGTCAATGTTAAGTAAAAATACCATACCTACATTTTATGCATTTCCGAGTTTCTAAACTTTTTCTGTGTTGTCTGCAGCTTCCACAAAACTCCCCCAAAATTCCCATTGAATTTCTTATGCTGACCCAGGATATATTGAAACTACGATGGAGAAAGTTACCATGTCGATGGCATAACTGTATTAGCTTTTATTTTTATTAGGTTCAGTGATCTTACTATTACTATACCTTACTGCCTCTCATGGAGAGCGCCAAGGCCTGGGACCTAGTGCTGAAAAGCAGATCATGATGGGGAGGCCAGGTCCAGTGATTGCCCTGTGCAGTCAGAAGCTAGCATATGGTAATAGTAACAGCTCAGGCTTATGCTTTGAGTGCCTGTAAGGTGTTTCACATATATCATCTCATATGAGCTTCACAAAACTCATGAGGCAGGTACTATAGGTACTACCACTGCCATTGTACTGATGAGCAAGCAGATAAGGCTCTGAGTGGGCAAGTATTTGCCCACAGTCACACAGCTAAGTGTCAGAGAAAGGACTTGAGCCAGATCTTCCTGACACCAAATCCAGCTGCTCTACCGTGCTAATCTGTGGAGGGCGATGCTGAAAGAGAAACTAGAGGAGGCAGAGGAGCAGAACCAGTAGACACAAGGTCTGTGAAGTCTTCAATCAAAAAATAGGACTGACATGCATTCAATTTGCTGAACTCCAAAGCAAGTCTATATATTAAATTTTTTTTAAACTGAGGCATAAATCATTCCCATAGTGAGAGCACTTTTATGTCTCTCTTTGAAAACCTTCCGTCCTGGGTTGTTTTGTTTTGAGTTGTTTTTTTGTTTTGCTTTGTTTTTACACTGAAAGCCTTTTAAAATGACAGTAAACATCATGATGCCAAAGACCAGATGACCTCTGCAGTTTCTTCCAATTCTGAGCTTCTATAATTCTATTATTCGGAGACAAGGGGACACAAGGCTTGGAGGACTGGCGAATAACAGGAACCAAGCGGGATGAGGCAGCTAAAAGCGCTGATGAGGCCTTATATCACATCAACAGAAGCCATGACCATGACAAGGGAGATGAGAGTCCCACTGTATGAGCCCTGCCCTGGCCAAGTCACATCTGCATTACTGTCTTCAGTTCTGGGCATATCTTATTAAGGCTACTGGCGAACTGGAGCGCATCCAGAGGAGGACAATCAGAACGGCAAGGGTACTAGAAACCACACCACATGAGGAAAGGATTGAAAGAACTGGGAGATTTGCCTGGAGAAGAAAATATTTAAGTTTCAGGGCAGGATCAGGGCAGGGGAAGGGGTCAGCAAGAGCTACCTTCAAATGTATATTGAGTGGTACTATGGAAGAGGGAGAGGCTGATTCTGATTGGATTTAGAAGGTGAAATTAGGAACAATTGGTAGATTAGGAAAGACAGATTTTGGCACTTTGGCACTACCTGAGTGACAAAAATAAATAATAAAAATAAATTAATTAAAATACCTATAAATTAGAATTGGCCAACAATGAAATAGGCTATTTCATGAGGTAGTGAGGTCCCCATCAATGGTGGTATTCAGATAGAAGCTGGAACCATCTGGGATGTCACAGAGGGGAATTCCAGCATCCTTTTCAGACTTTATCTCAGTTTATCTTCATTCCTTGTGACCAAGGTATTGTGTTATTGTTCCCATTATCTAGATCAGTAAACTAAGAGTTAAAAGAGTGAAGTGACTTCACTTTGCAAGTCTTTTGACAAAAGGCTGGCCTACATGACATACACAGTCCCTTCCTACTGTTGGATTCAATTATTCTATGAGTTTAAACGCATAAGGGTCACTTGGTATTGTGGAGACCTTTTTTGTTTTCTCTTGAAGTCTTGGGGAAACCAGTGGAATCCATGGGTGTCCTCTCAGCTGGCCCTTACTCTCACCCTATGATCAGTGCCTCCTCTTTTTAACTTATGCAGGCTAACATAATGCTTTACAGCACTTCTTCTTCTATACTTTCCTGTCTATCATACATGAACAGCCTGCTCACACTCACCATGTGCCTATCCTTTGCCCTTCAGGTAATCCCCACTTTTTAATTATTTCAAGCGTGTAGTGTGTTCCACAACCTACAGTCACACAACAACATCGGGAGAATACTGGTATTTAAAAATAGGCCTTGTTTCAGAAGAAATCCCGAAGTTGTTAAGTGCTGTTTACAATGATCTTGACATTTATTCATTTTGTTCCATTAAAAAAAATCTAATAAGCCAATCCGAACTGGAGCCAAAACATTCCCTTTCTAACATCAAGGTGGAGCAAAGGATAGGATCAAGAGAACCCAAGTCCAAATCCTGTCTCAGACAATTACTATGTGTGTGACCCTTAGGCTCTGCTTGCCTCATCTATAAAAAAATGGACCAAAATGGCACCTACCTTCCAGGGTTGTTGAGATGGAAGGAAAAAACAAGCATTTATCAAGGGCCCACGGTCTGCCAGCAATTCACAGATATTATTTTATGTGGTCCTCACAACAACCCTAGGAGATAGGTGCTACTGCTGTTCCCATTTTGTAGCTGAAGAAACTGAGGCAGATAGAGGCTAAGTGACTTGCCCAGGGCCACACACAGCAAGTAAGTGTCAGAGGCTAGATCTGAACTCGGGTCTTCCTGATACCAGCCTCACTGCTCTATCTGCTGCAACACTTAGCTACTCCCAGGCAGGATCAAAATAAGGATCAAATGAGATGTGAAATATAAAACTTTGCAGCCCTGGTATTGATCTCTAAGTACTAAAATCAAACTTGAAGCCACTTAAGTGTCAGAGTTCAGGCAGCATGAGCCTGCCTGCATCCTGGAGTGAATTCTGAGCAAGGGGATGTCCTTCTCATCTGAGAAAAGACTTCTGAGGAGGATCCCAGGTTTTTATTGAGAATAAAGATATTGAACCACTATATAAATGCTAGCTCTTATTATTACTGAATCTGAAAAAATTTCCAAAACTGCAAAAAATTCTCAAAACATAGGACTAAGAGTTTGATTCTAGTCTTCATTTCAAAAATACTCACACAACGATTCTGCTCTCAAAAGGAAACAACATGGTTCAGGGAGAAGAGTCACCCTCTTCTGGACCCCTGCCAACCTGTCAACACCATTCCTCAAACATGGCACCCAGACCAAAACATGATTTACCATATTGTTTTTTAACTTGAATTAGTGAAAAGAGCCTCATACTTGAAGTCAGAGGACTTGTGTTGAAATCTTGGCTTTTCAGTTTACTCTCTGGGTTCCTGATCTAGGAAATGAGGAGACTTAATTGGCTGTCCTTTCTAGCTATCATAAATCCAAGTTCCTACACCGATGGTTGTCCTACCTTTCTCTAGCTAGATTCTCTACCAACAGATACAAAAGATTCTATGGAGAATGTGCTTCTTGGAACACACTGCTTCCTCACCTCAGCCTCTCAACCATCCCTAAGTTTATTCCAAGCACAGCTCAGGG